TCCACGGAGCGGTGAGCACAACAGCACGAGAGGTGATAGGTACAGCTCAGAGGCGCCCCCGGAATGGGTGGTTTGACGAGGAGTGCCTGCGAGTGACAGAGGAGAAAAACGTCGCCAGAAGCCGGAGTTTGGGTCTGGTACCCGTCAGAACAGAGAGCGGTACAGGGTAGCAAGGTCAGCCGAGAAACGAACCCATCGCAGGAAAAAAGGCAGTACGAGGAACGCGTGCTTGCTGAGGCGCAAGAAAGTATGGAGCAGAATGATATGCGAAGGTTTTGCGCAACTGTCAATGGCGTGAGGAGTAAGACAGCGCCGTCTCCCGCCATGTGCTATGACCGTGAAGGTAATCTGCTGACAGATAAAACGATGGTGGCTGCCAGGTGGAAGGAGTACTTCGAGACGTTGCTGAACGGAGAGAACGAGAGAGCATCTACAAACAGAACACACATCGACGACGATGGTCAAGCTGTGGAACCACCAACGCTAGAAGAGGTGAAAAAGGCGATACGAGAGCTGAAAAACAGTAAGGCTGCGGGAAGGACGAGCTCCCGGCCGAACTTTTCAAACACGGAAGTGAGCAGCTGCACCAGATGATCCACCGTATACTGCTCAAGATATGGGAGGAGGAAGAATTGCCCGCTAGTTGGTTGGATGGTCTCGTTTGTCCCCTCTACAAAAAGGGACACAGACTGGAGTGCGCCAATTACAGAGGAATCACGCTTCTGAATTCGGCGTACAAAATATTATCACGTGTTCTGTTCAACAGATTGAGACCGCTTGAGGAATCCTTCGTCGTCGAATACCAGGCTGGTTTTCGTGAGGGTCGATCAACGACGGATCAAATGTTTACCCTGCGTCAAACCCTTGAGAAGTTCCGGGAATACAACTTGCAGACTCATCATCTGTTCATGGATTTCAAGGCAGCGTACGATTCAGTAAAGAGAAACGAGCTATGGCAGATAATGCAAGAAAACGGTTTTACGACGAAACTAATTAGGCTGATTCGTGCAACGCTGGATGGTTCGAAATCATGTGTACGGGTTGCAGACGAGATTTCGGCCTCGTTCGTGACCTTAGATGGGTTGCAGCAGGGAGATGCTCTTTCGAACTTGTTATTCAACATCGCCCTCGAAGGAGCGATTAGGAGAGCTGGTGTGCAGAGGAACGGTACCATCATCACAAAGTCGCACATGCTCCTTGGCTTTGCGGGCGACATCGACATCATCGGAATCGACCGTAGAGCAGTGGAAGAGGCGTTCGCGCCTTTTAAAAGGGAGACAGCGAGGATTGGTCTGACGATAAATTCTACCAAAACGAAGTACATGGTCGCCGGTAGAAAGCGTGGGAGCAATAGTGGTGTTGGTAGTGAAGTGGTGCTAGATGGCGAAAAATTTGAAGTTGTGGACGAATTTGTTTATCTTGGTACTTTAGTGACGTGCGAAAATGATGTTACCCGTGAGGTGAAAAGGCGTATTGCAGCCGCGAACAGGGCTTTCTACGGGTTGCGTAGCCAGCTGAAGTCCCACCGCTTGCGTACGAAAACAAAATTCACGCTGTACAAGACGTTGATTCTGCCGGTAGCCCTTTATGGCCACGAATCGTGGGCATTGAAAGAGGCCGATCGGAGAGCTTTCGGTGTCTTCGAGCGTAAAGTGCTGCGAACAATACTCGGCGGTAAACTGGAAAATGGCATCTGGTGGCGTCGCATGAATCACGAGTTGTACCAAGTATATAACTTCATGGATATAGTGAAGCTTATAAAACACGGCAGGCTACAGTGGGCTGGGCATGTGGCACGAATGCCGGAAGAGCGTCAAGCGAAGTCAATATTCAGTAGGGAACCCGGAAGAGGACGTTGGCTTCGGGGTAGGCCACGCACGCGTTGGCTTTGTGCAGTTGAGGAGGACATTAGGTCCTTGAACGTCCAAGGCGACTGGAAGCGATTGGCTCAGGACCGAGACCAATGGAGACAGTTACTTCGTTCGGCGCAGATTTGAATTCAACGAGTCGTTGAATTTGAGACGAAATCCATCTTTGACACAAAGGATGAGACGTAAACAAACATGTCATGTAAAATGCTGCTTCGAAACTGAAAAGTTTGTTACTTGACGAAAAGTTCCTTTGATTGAGCAGAATTTCACGTGTATTATAACTCAATTCTTTGTCAAAATTGACGCTCGTATATGTCAGTCTCAGCGCACCTAAATTTACATGATTTTTTCTAAGTGTGTAGTCTAAGACTCTAAACACATGTCGAACTTTTGAGGTTTGCTCCGGGAAATCTGGGAAAAGCCAGGAATTTCAAAATGACAATTAGCTGGCCTCCCTGGGTATTTTTTAAAAGTAGACCTGCTTTTTGTTACTCACAGGTATTTGATGCTGTAGGTAGCATTTCTCAATATTATGAAAGGCACAACCTTTACCCAAAAATGGATCTTCTAAGAGTGCTCAATTTAAAAGATAGAATGGGTGGCTTTGACGCGGTGGGAACAAAAACTAAATAAATAGAAACCGTTAAAAGTTGGTCCTTTGTTAATCTTTGTAAATCGGTAAATCGGTGCCCACGGCGCTAGAGATTTTGGCCACGCTACCAGCCTAACTGCCCCACCATTTTTCGGTAATCTGACAGTATATGTGAGTGTTTTTATTTTTCTTTTCATGTCATTTACTTGTATAATTTATTGCTCCATGTTTACAAAGCTTACTAAGTATTAATTTCTTGAAACATATTATTGATGTCTCTGAGCCGGGGATCCCTTCCGAATTGGCCGTTACCGTTTATATGGCACTGGGATGGGGTTCATTGGATCAGGATTCACCTTAATAAGTGATGTGTTCATTGGTTTGACATGACATGACAGTTCCGAAACGATCCTATCAACTCTTTATTGTAAAACAGCATGGGACTGAACCAATGATTTTCTGCTCAGTAAGCAAACACGGTTGGACTTGACAACCAAGCCCTTTACATCAGAGTAAAACCATTATGACTGACGATCGTTTTTGAATAAGAATGACATGAAATAACAGAAACGGAAGAAGTCAACTATATTTCGAGAGGAAAGGAATAGATTCAATGAGATAGAGATTTTAACATTTCAACTTATTTGTTGCTTGGGTAAACGAAATAATTAAAAATTAATATAGTTCCTGCGGTTGATTATCAATTTTAAATCTTTGGCAAATCTTTAAACAAGAACAGCGATTTTGGAGCCTTCCTTTTGTCTAGAATATAACACCTTTTGCCTTTTTCGAACTTTACCTGGACGATAGCCATTTTGCTTTGCGATCGCGAAACACGAAGCTAAGAAGCCCGAAAATTTTCAGACATCACATTTTTCCAACGATCTCGATTTTGAACACCATCAGCAATAGGTGTTGAAGGAAATCCAATGTCAGTAATGTTTATAAATACATAGGGGAGAACTCCCCACCGCTGTCCCCCTACCAGTTTCGGGATTCCACGTGCCAGAATTCTCCACTCCAGGGGTGAGTCCTAGACCATCCTACCCTACCAAAGATTAAACTGGAACGAACTCACCAATTTAGTTGACTGCTGGATGCAACCTGTCCGTAAAATTTATGTGCAATTCGAACCGCAAGAAATCGTTGATAAACTGGAAACTTTTCTCCAACCAATGCTTCCTATTTCCGGTACCGCCATCGAACGGGTGGAACATAAAAAAAGACTTGCTAGTTGTTCGGTTCTTCTGCCACTCTCTGGATGGCATCCATGTTTCCGTTGGTCGACTGCTTCCCGTTGTGAAAGGGTTCTGAGGGCAAAATTGTTCGCAACGTGTTATTTGCCACAGATGAGATTGCCGGGATGGAAAAGGTATCGGAAAGTCCCGGCTATACCTGATCCATAACGGTTGGTTCCGTATCGACCTGGATGGTCCGCAGAATGTACAGCTCGATTGCAGTTCGCTAGTAAAACGTTTCAAAGAAACTAACTTTCAGGTTGAAACCCCCTTCTAGAAAACTAAAATGGGGATTGTTCTTCATTAAAAGTACTCGGGGAAGAACGAGAAAAAATCTTGACAGCAAAAATAAACACGACCGTTCGCCGGCACAGCCTACGCCGTTCCATCTCCATTTGAAATTCAGACAATAGGGAACGCAAATTTCAGACGCGCCCAGAGAACTTCAAGAAGATTTTAAGGGAAATCCCATGAGCTTCAAGGAAGTTTCGAAAGCTTCAGGCAAATTACGGGAACTTCAGAATAGATCAAAGCCCTTCGAGGCAGTTCAATTAACTTTAGAAGAATTGAGGGAACTATTAAAAAGTTCTGAGAAGCTCAGGGACGTTTAGAGAGCTTTATTGAAGTTCATAGATCTTTACGACTTGGATGAAGCATCGAAAACTTTCGAGGGTGTTTAAAAATAATAAAATCTGCGTGTTCGCTACGTTTTATAAAATTCTGTCAAAAATTTTCGGCCGAAATCTTTCCGAAAAAAAATCCCCATATCTCACATTCTCACTGTCCTAACCTCCTAGTTGATTGGAATGGGCACCATACTACAGAGCTTGATTCCAAACACGATCGCACCTTAGCGCAATACAAAGACCGGAGGCAAATTAACAATCAAAATTGATATCGTTATTAGATGTGTCGAATTGCCAGAAATTAGCCCGATTCTACTCTGTAGCTAAAGGCTCTTCCATAAGAATCATTCTACATCAAATTCGCCTCAGTCCAATTCAAATCACCGTAGTTTGAGTCCGGTTTTTATTCAAGTCATAACTAATAATTGCACCGTTACGAACCCTGCTAGAAAATAAAAAAATAAAAGAAACACTTATGAACTAACAGACACCTTTCGGCTTACATAACAGCACCTTCCTGCGTCGGAACAATAAGCCATTAAAATAGCTGCCAAAACCCAAGCCCGCACGCAAACAACTCAAGGCCGAACCCATTCATTAGCTTCTTCTAGTTCGATTCCCCTTTGCTTTGCGTTTCTAAACAAACCCATTCAGTAAAAGCTTCCCGGCAAGCCACCTGGCGGCTAGTAGCCGAAGCTTTCCGCTCAGCGAAAGCTTCCCACTTTCGTCGCTTGCTCGCCCATTCAAGTCTCTCGCTACGCTCGTCGTTCTCTTCTCGCTCGTTTGTGTTTGTTACTCACCTTTTTCTTCGCATAAGCCGTCTCCTGCGGTCCGATCGTGTACAGATCGACGATTCCGAGCAGACAGTCGTCGCACCGGCACACGTCCTCACCCAGGACCAGCGACCCGATGCTGCTGCTCGAGTCCATCGAATCGGTCCGGATGAGTCGGGACCCTCCCGGGCCACCACCATTGTTATTCGGCGAACCGGGCACTCCGGCCTGGGATGCCGCTTCGATCTTCTTCGCCAGCAGGGCTTCCATCAGCGAGCGCGGTCGCGATGAGCTGGACGATAGCAGGGACATTTTCGCCCGATTGCTCTGGATTCGAAGGTCGAAGGAAATTTCGATTCTCCTTGCTTTAATGTCGGGAGAACAAAAACTAAAAAAAAAAATGTTTTTCTGCTACTGCGAACAAGTGCCAATTAATCGCGCTGGGAGGAATCCTCGTCGTTGCGGCCCGCTTGTTGGGGGCATAATTGTAACCCTGCAGCAGTGGATCTGAAAAGTAAGTGAATGGTAATTGCGATCTGTTTTTGTGTTATATCTTTAATTCTCTTTGAACCACGCACGCTGCATCAGTGAGGGGGGGGGGGGGGAGGGGGGTATGGGAATGGAAGGAAGGTTTTTACTGTAAACTGTTATTGTTGTTGAGAGCGGGAGGCGATGGAAGATCAATTCGATAGCGAGTTCAGTCACACGGCCGGCTCAGTCGAATCGAGTCGAGTTGATGGTAATGTTTGCACGTTTACGTTTCGGGTTTTCCTTTAGGGCGGACGGTTGATGAGTGGGCAATCAAATTTAATGTCAATGGGGTTGGATGAGTCGATTTTCGCATGTTTGACTCGTGTAGATTACTCGGTTTCTGGCCGCGGCCGTTTCAAAAGAATTCCACCGTTATGAAGGGTGCATAAATCATTCGGTTTACGGTATTGTGAAATTGAATTTCAAGCTGCTGTATTGGCGTGGACCACAAGTAGTGGTGTTAGGTTATTTTTAGCCACATTATTCGGAACCATTGTGGGGTGTAGTTTAGATTGAAGTTTCGTTGACGAACTGACTCTGACAGTGGCGTCGCACAGTGGTCCAGAAGCCAACACCCATTCCACCACTTGTGCCGTTGAATCAACCCAATTGTTCAGTCGCCCATCTGATAACCCCTGAAGAGAAGGCTGATGCTATAGGTCAACACTTCGTCAGCTCTCATAATCTCGGGCTGGACTTGCCTAGTCTATTCGATACTTCAGTTGCAGTAAATGCAACCAACCTCCATCCCAACAACTTTACTGTGGAATCCGAGGTTACGGCTGACGAACTGTTGACCTATACTAAATCATCTAAAAATATGAAGGCCCCAGGTTTCGACCAAATTCTGAATCTGGAACTCAAACACCTGAGTTCCAGATCCTTCAACGATATGGCACTGATTTTTAATCAATGCCTCAGACTTGGCTACTTTCCCTCGTGCTGGAAGTCAGCTAAAGTCATTCCCATCCGGAAACGTGGGAAAGATCCATCCTCTCCTTCAAGCTACTGACCTCGGGGTTATCCAAGCTGTTCGAAAGAACAGTCTACCATCGACTCCTGGCGTCTGCCGAGGAAAACAACTTATTGCTCGATGAGCAGTTTGGCTCCGGTAGACTTTGACTTCGGTCCTGCCACTCCGAGTTTAACTCCAGCCCGCGACCGCGATCCGTCCGTAAAGCGATGAATGTGCCCCGGAAAAACCGACCCGAGAAGCTCTGCAACAGAACGTCTCAAAGCTACAGAGTTATCTCCGGCTTGGAATCCACTCTTAATCCGCCTATCTATTTTGACGACGTTTGATCGCCAACTCTTCTCTCCATGCCAGTTGACCCTGGCAACCGGGGGAGGTCACGGTTGGCTGCAGTACGGAGGGCTCTGTTCCCCTCGTTGAGGAGAAATACCCTTTCGTTCCCGGATGTCTTAGCAGCGAAGGCAGCGGCTTTCGTAGCAATGGCTGCAGCAGATCGATAGCGGAAAGGGAGGATTCCGATTTCCACACATGCTGCGTCTGCAGGCGTGGAAAGGAGAAGACCGGATACGATGCGTACGTAGGTATTGTATACCGGAGCGAGGATGTGGTTGAGCTTCTCGATGGCTAAACAGGTTATTTCGAGGCCGTAGAAAAGTCGACTGTCGATAACAGCCCGAGCGACACGAAGACGGATCTCACGGTTACTGGAGCGATGCGGGCGGGAGATTGTCCTGACTATGTTGATGCGGCTACGACAGTTTTCTTTCACCATCCTGAAGTGCTGGTTGAAGCTTAGGCTGCGATCCAGTACTACCCCCAGAACACGCACTGTTTTCTTGAGCGGAATCGGATGATCTTGGATGGTGATCGGTGGTCCTCGAATCAGATGGCCCGAGTGACAGATATGGCACCGTACACTCTTCGGCGCGAAAAGCTGGAAACCAACCGAAAGCGCCCACTGACGGCGGAGACTGCTGCTTGAGCTATGTTCCTGGTCCGCTTAGTCGTTCGTGCCGTTACGACGAAGAGTATGTCATCGGCATAAACGATTACGTGCACGTTCTTGGGCAATCGGCTGAATACCTCGTTGATTGCCATCAGGATTAGCGTAACCGCTATGACGGATCCCTGGGGCACTCCAGTTTACTTGTTTCCAGAGGTCCGGATACGAGTCAGTGAGCCATAGATCGTATGAAGAGGGCGAGTAGCCTCGTTTTTCCGTCGAGGGAGAGGTTTTTTAACACCGGGTATCCAATCTACTGCTGCCGAGGGCAAACTGAAGCTCCCGGATGCTGCTGAAGCTGCGCGAATGCTGCTTGTGGAAGGTTTGACGCACTGGACGAAATCGCTATCGTAGCCACTGATAGCAGACATGCCGGCAAAAAATTATCCTAATTTGTCGGCGATGTCCTTCGGATCTGAGATCGATGTGCCATGAGCTTGGATAGTAGGTGGAGTAGACCGCCGCTTGCCACTCAGAGCGTTGACGCGATTCCACAATTCACTCGACGATTGAGATTCGTGGATTGAGTCCAGGAAATCCATCCAGCTAGATCGCTTTGCGTCACGGATCCTGTCTGCACGAGAGATGGCGTTCTCGGTAAAACTTCAGCGATTCCTCCCTACCAGGGTCGTCTAAGGCGAGATGTTTAAGCCGGCGTCATTGGGATAGATACTGTTGCAGCTTCGTAGAGTACTTCCTACTACTCTACTTCCGTAGAGTACTGGGCTTCCGAGTCGTTGGAGGGGCCGCGCCTACGGAAAGCTGTATGCGGATCGGGCAATGGTCACTACCATGCAGGTCGTTGCTGTTATTCCACTGTGCCCTGTTCGCGGTAGATCGACTGGCAGTGGCAATGTCGATCGCGGTGGTGTGCTGTCCATTAAAAAAGGTGGGAACGCCGTCGTTCAGCACCACCAGGTCCTCTCTCTCGAAGATGTTCGCCAGGGTAGAACCTCTGGGGTCTGGGCAAGGGCTGCCCCAGTCCGGATGGTGCCCATTGAAGTTGCCGACGATGAGCCGGGGTTCCGGAAGCATGGAAATATCTGCACTTTGAAGGACGGACAACCAGCAGATAGGCGGAACCGGAGCAAAAACGGATAGCAAAGGTTTTGCTAAGCGAAACGTGTTTATTTGTGTCAAAGTACAAGTGTGAAAAAAGAGAAAAAAGATAGCACTCAACGTGCATAGAAACAAAGGTAGTTAAATTCGTTTTCTCCGTAGTTCCCTTTGGTAGCAAGGTATCGGTAGTAGCGAGGTGCTCATCATACTCCATCACTCCTCCTGGATGAACACCGAGTCTAGGGTTTCAGTCCAACTTGATCGATGAACTTCTGCATTGCTGTTGGTCCCAACGGCTTGGTTAGTGCATCAGCGACCATTTCGTTGGTCGGGCAGTACACCAATTTGACAACTTTCTGTTCAGACAGCTCCCGTATGTAGTGCTTCTTGGTGTCAATGTGTTTAACACGACTGCTAGTTCTCTCCGAGGTCGCAAAGCTGAGACACCCTTGGTTGTCCTCAAAGATGACCGTTGGTTGTCCTTCGGGTACTCCCAGCTCTGATAATAGCCGCCTTAGCCAAACGGTTTCCTGGCAAGCGAGCGATAGAGCATTGTACTCGGCTTCGAGGGATGAAAGAGCCACAGAACTTTGACCCTTGCTCACCCAGCTTATCGGGCCGCTTCCATAGAAAAAGATAAACCCGGCCGTAGATCTTCTTGTCCGGCGATCTCCGGCCCAATCAGAATCGGAGAAGCCCTTGAGACCTGGTCCGAATTTCAATCGCCAGTCATTCGTTGTGCTCAAATACTGCAGCACGCGTTTTGCTGCACCCCAATCCATGTTGTTGGGCTCGGCGACTTTTCTCCCAAGCAATCCGACGCTCAAAGACAGATCTGGTCGTGCTACTACATCATCACTCTGTTCTTCAAAGCCAGGAAAGTCACTATCAATTGTGTCTTCTGCGTCTTCATACACCGACTGACGCTCTTCTTTCTGCGTCTTTTCATCTTCACTGTGTTCAAACACTACCACTGGGTTTTCTTCACTCTCCGTCACTGGATCATCTGGAACACGTCGCTCCTCCTGCTACATATCCGGAAGCGCGCTTGCCTCCTCTCGCAGCCCGGATCCTTTCGGGAGCTCCAGGAACTCAGCATCTCGACTAAAGACTATGCGATTGGTTTCGACATCAAGAAAGCGAAAACCTTTGTGGCAGCCGGAATAGCCCACGAACACAAGCTTCTTCGATCGAGGATCAAATTTCTTGCGCTTGGCGTCTGGTATACGAACATACGCTTCACACCAAAGATTCGGAGATCTGTCAAGTTCGGTTTGTTGCCTGTCCACAACTCGAATGGCGTCCTCTCAACTGCTCTGGATGGAAGCCGGTTCTGGATGAACGTGGCCGTTAGAATAGCTTCTCCCCAATATAGCTTAGGAAGGTTGGCATCTAATAACATACAGCAGGCCATTTCTTGGAGGGACCTGTTCTTTCTCTCGGCTACTCCATTTGACTGCGGTGAGTAGGGAGTCGAGAACTGCTGCTGTATGCCCTCCGATCTGCAGAACTGCTTCAGCCTCTCGACTACATATTCTCCTCCTCCATCAGAACGTAGTACACAAGGCTTCTTGTCGAAGATATTTTCCACCCACCGAACATATTCCATAATCTTGTCGGCAGCTTCGTCCTTCGACTTCAGCAGGAACACTACGCAAAACCGACTGAAATCGTCGATTAGGGTGATGAAATACTTGTTCCCGCTTGGCGTAGGGTTTTCCATGGACCCGCAGAGATCGGTGTGTATGATGTCGAGCGGCCGCTTCGACTTCCGGTCTTGAACCTGTGGAAAGGGCTTTCGTACCAACTTACCCCTCAGGCAGCACTCACACACCAACCGTTCTCCGCAATCCGTCAGTTTGATTCCGCTGGCCAAATCCTGTGTCACGATTGCATTCACAAAACTAATGTCGCGATGGCCCATTCGCTTATGCCACGTAT